CACACCCACACATCCACACACCCACACATCCACACACCCACACATCCACACACCCACACATCCACACACCCACACATCCACACACCCACGCGCAAAGTTTAGAAGAGCAGATGTTTATGCTGCACTTGGAGCCGGTATGTAATTCTGCTTAGAAAATTCTGCCCCACATGTTGCACTGAATAAAATCTCTTCTTGTGTGTCAGGCAGCTAAGGCTGCATTTTCTCCCTCTAGATTGGGGTCCAGTCAGCATTTCCCTGTACAAGGTTTACAGCCAGGATTTTAATTATACTCTTAGTATAATTCATTACACCCACGTGCAGTGCAGTGCATTTGAATCGTGGCTAATTTTAACTGAGGTGCTCTTGCTTCTAATTAAATGAGAGCTCTGTTGGTGACAGGAGTATTTCTTGGCACCTAACCTTTAGTAAATAACAATATTAATATTTTTTTCCCATGTTATGCAAATCAGAAGGCTTATCTTTAGCCCACGGTAATGCTGAAGCCATGAGCCGAGGCGATGAAGCAGTGAGAGATGATGCTTGAGTGTCCTGTATGTATCACTGGCAGGTTTGCAAGCACGTCACGCAGTGAGTGTCAAAGCTGTAAGGGGCAGACCTTCCAGAAGAGTCTCTCCAGTACACGACGTGCCCAGGCAAGCTACAACGATTGCAGAGAGCATAAAGCACCCCATAAGCTTTTGTTGAAATGAAGAAGTGGTATTTCATTTGCAGTTTGTACTAGTATACAGGAATTCATTACTTTTCACATTTGCCATCTTGCTTTCCTTTTGAGATACATACAGATGAAGGCAAATTTAAGATCAGAGCGCAGGATCAGCCTTTTATCCAGTGCACCGGAGCAATTTTTGGGGTTAAGGGTCTTGCCCATTACTCAGCAGTGATTTGACTGTTCTGCCGACCATGAGATTAGACCCAGCGACTTTCGATCACAGGCACTAACTGGCAGAGCTACATACTACCCCCATGTTTCCTCTTCCGGATCCTTCAGGAAATCCAGACTCAGACTGGGCCTTAGTGAAGTCGTATTCACCTCGATAACCTTGAAACTTCTCCTTGATAAGTCACACGGTGAGCCAGCAGGGGCCTTGGTCTTTGTGATCACGTTAAAGTCCTTCTGTGAAGATCTGCTGGCACAGCGGTTAAGGAGCAGCACTTGTTCATGAAAGTTCACATCCCATGTGAGGTCCTTCTGTTTCACCACTGGGCAGCTGCTTCACTTAAGCAGCTCCAGTCACATTTCCTGCTAAACAAATGGGACAAGTGTGAAAACGTGAGGTTTGCCACTTACTCTGCAACGAATGCACTGCCATTTTAAGTGTGAAAATAGCACAGGCGTAACATAAAAGGCATACAAAACAGAGGCGGCAGCATTTGTTTTCATTGTGATTTGTTTTCATTGTGATTTGTTTTCATTGTGATTTTTTCCACTGTGTTCCATTTACAGCATTGTCTGATTCATCAGAAGGAGCAAATACCAATTTGATTAGAAAACGGTACTTCCCGTTTTTTTCCTTTTGCGTGTTTATATTAACACACATTCCGAAGCTGGGGTCTCACATGGACAGTAACCAGTGGTCATTTTTGTTTGATACAACCACACTTACAATCTTAATACTATTTATTCTTTCCTAAATAGTCCAAGTTTAGCTTCAGCCACACTGCTGAGTACTTCAGCGTTTCACTGATGATGCCCCACGATGTGACAGCGCTTCCGGTCCTCGTTGAATCAGGTTCTACGTTCTGTAGCTGCTACGTCACACCAGAGCCTGGCAGCTGGCTGCGGGATGTCTCAACGTTCTGACTGGAGTCCTCATGCCTGTTATCGGGCACCTCCACCAGCTAATCCCCACACCTCCACCGGCTAATCCCCACACCTCCACCAGCTAATCCGGGCACCTCCACCGGCTAATCTGGGCACCTCCACCAGCTAATCCGGGCACCTCCACCGGCTAATCCGGGCACCTCCACCGGCTAATCCGGGCACCTCCACCGGCTAATCCCCACACCTCCACCGGCTGATCCGTGCTTGGCTCGCCCAAGTTTTCCACAGATGCCGCAGCCCCTCCCCCTTTCAAACAAAGGAGCACGTCAGTCATAATAAATCTGTTTGAAGTGTTTTCAGTGTTTCATTTGTTATTTTAAAAGTATATTTAACAAAAAAACTGTTTTTTCTCCACCCTAGTCTGGACAAGTCGCTGTGTGGGCTGGTTTCATTTCTGCTCAAGTGCTTAATTTGTCTCCATTGAGCTCAGTTTGGCGTGATTTGAATTATCCAATCAGGAGTTCGGTTAGGGCTAATAAATGAAGCAGTCACTGCGAATGAAAAACTGCAGAGGCACACAGGCTGAGGAGACCTGTCGTCCTGTGGATGGGTAACGATACCTGGGGGACACTGACTGGAGAAGCCGGGGAACTGGTGGCATCACCCAGGATACTGCAAAACTCTGGAATTCCGTGTCTCCCAGCTGGAGGCTGAGGGTGGAGCAAACTTCCAGACTTCAGGTCTGCAGCTGCTGCCGTTGCGTTGGAGACAATGTCAAGGGAGCGAGGCCTCGCCGGTGGAGGGAGGGGCCTCACCAGCAATGGGAGGGGCCTTGTCTGTACAGGGAGGGGCTGCATCAGGGAGGGGCCTCACCAGCAATGGGAGGGGCCTTGTCTGTACAGGGAGGGGCTGCATCAGGGAGGGGCCTTGTCAACGGTGGGAGAGGGCTAGCCTGCAGTGGGAGGGGCCTCGCCTCATCTGCCCTTCCTCCTGTGCGCCATCAGCACGGGCTGCAGGATCCACGCACTTCCCCACCTCAAGTGCCCCCCCCCCCACTGACCGCTGCCTGCTCCTTCCAGCTACATCCATCAACACGACAAATGAGAAGAGATAAAGCTGAAGCTGGAGTTGCTTCTGTGGCCAAAGTGCTGCTTCAGATTCAAGTGAAAGTTACCCTGCTGTACACTATAGAGATAACCCTGCAGTGCCTCATTTTTGGATTAAAAACTCTCCCCCGACACAGTTTTGTGAAATTCATCATTCTGGGGGGCCCTCCTGGGGTGGCAGACCAACATCCCAGGCCTGAGGCCTGAAACTCACTGGAACTTTCTGTTTGCTTGCAGTGAATGTGACCGTGTCAGGGAAGCAGCACCTACTGGGACTGTATGACACTGCTGGACAGGTGAGTCACCGTGGCCTGTCCTGTTTGTGGGTTTCTTGGTTCTGATGGCCAGACGGTGCAGGACCATGTTGCGCGAGAAGCTGGCGGCTGTGGCTTGTAGACCTTCTCGTGACGTGCCAAAGACGTCAAACCTCCTGCTGATAGGCTGGCAGCATGTGAGGCTGCAGCTGAGAGGTCCGTTTGGTGGGCATGGCCCAGCACCTCCCGACGGGGTTCCCAGGCCACAAGGGCAGCCAGTTTGGTATGTAATGAGCCACGATCTGGCAGGGCGAGGTGCTGAACCTTAATTCTGTGGATAGATTTGAGGATTGAGGAGATATTGCAATATGCCACACATAGCCAAAAATGCTCAGAACCTGTGAAAGAGGTCCCACAAGAGACTGATCCAGAGGGAATCACTGTGAGAATTTGGGCCCAAAATGAAGACTTCCACAAAAAACAGCAGTAGTTTTTAGATTATAATAGGAGCCCAGAGGAAACTGTGTATGCAAAAGGAAAACATAAAAACACAGCGTATAATAATAACAAGAGTATAATAATAATAATGATACCTCACCTGTTATCGGGAGTAGTGTTTGGCTCTATTCCTGTGATCGGAAGGTCGGCAGTTCAAATCCCCGGACTGGCGGAGAGATGTTACTCTTAGGCTCTTGAGCAAGGCCCTTGACCCCATTAACTCCAGAATCACTGACTGATTCGAGTCTCTGATCCTCAGTTGTACACTATGTTAGACAAAACTGTCTACTGAATAAGTTCATGTAAAATATATCATCACAACTAGGTATTACAGTGGTTTATAGGGCAACATAGCAATCGCTTAACAATGTTGTTGTTCCAGTAGTGCATTATTAGGTGTCTGCGACACCAAAAGCATGATTTCAGTCTGTCTGAAAGACAAAAACCCTCATACTAGATTAGTGATGCGCAAAAGTGTTCAGCCTGTGCCTATAGTGGCCAATGAGCAAGTGGGGAAACAGCTCAGCGCTAAACAAATCTGGTCCTACAGCTGCTGCTGCTCTTGGAACCGTCGTGGATTAGGGCCACACTGACGTGGATTAGGTCCTGCTCATTAGTGTCAGGCTAATTAGCGTCACAGGCCTCAGAGCATGAGCGCCTGCCAGTACCGTAGGGGGTGTCACACCTAACGCGGCGTGCTCAGAACGGGGGCTGGGAGGCTGCCATGCCCGCTGAACGCAGCTGTGTGTCCCAGGGAGTGTGGCCAGCTTCCCCCAGGACGCCGTGAAGAGCACTGGAGCAGAGCTCGGGCGTGTAGCAGGCCTTCGTCACTTCCACATGTGCATCCAGTGCTGCAGGCCGGCTTCCTGGGTGTGGAGCGAACCATTGTAAGGGATGTATCGTGTTTCTCCATTGTCTAGGTCAGGAAGACAACAGGCTGACCTGTAAACGTGTCTGTGTGTGTGTGTGGATTAGCTTTATATTACATTGTGGGGACCAAATATCCCCCCACAGTGTGATAAAAACCTGTAATTCACAAAGATTTGTGAATGCAATCAAAAAAACAAAAATGCCTTGTATTTCGTTTGGTTCCATATGGTTAAGGTTAGGGCTGGGTGGGGTTAAGCTCGTCATGATAGGGTTAGAGGTGAGCTGCCACTTCTTTCTCCATCAGTGAGGACGGCTTCTCTTGAAAGTTATGACCAAATTTCATATCGCAGTTTTACTTCACTTTCAAAGTTGACCTCCAATAATCTTCAGATGACCAGGTTTTAAAAAATGTGAACATTAGCTTATGTTTAGGATTATTTTAAGTACCCATGAAACTATGAGGTATAGTTGGAATTGTTACCAGGTGTTTCTGTCCCTATACACTAAAACTGAAAATGTACTCTTTGTTTGCTTTAACAGGGATATAATAAAAGCACAAAAAAAACACATGCCTAATAATTAAGAATTACAAAATGAATAATTTGTGGGTTATCCATAACAGAATATGCTGTAACCTTATAAAACATTGACAGGCCACCAGACAATTTTTAATGCAGGGTCTTCTGAATTATGGCAGGCCTTGGCACTTGCAGTGTTAGCTGGGTAATTGCAGGCTTTGGCACTTGCAGGGTATGCTGAGTGATGGCAGGCCTTGGTGCTTGCAGTGTTAGCTGAGTAATGGCAGACCTTGGTGCTTGCAATGTTAGCTGGGTAATGGCAGGCCTTGGTGCTTGCAGTGTTAGCGGGGTAATGGCAGGCCTTGGTGCGTGCAGTGTTAGCTGGGTAATGGCAGGCCTTGGTGCTTGCAATGTTAGCTGAGTAATGGCAGGCCTTGACATTTGCAGGGTATGCTGAGTAATGGCAGGCCTTGCCGCCTCCTAGGATTGCTGGCTTTGGTTCATCCTCTGGTCCCTGTTGTTTTCCTCAGGAGGATTACAACCAACTCCGGCCCCTCTCCTACCCAAACACGGACGTGTTCCTCATCTGCTTCTCAGTGGTCAACCCGGCTTCCTACCACAACGTTCAGGAGGAGTGGGTGCCCGAGCTGAAGGCGTGCATGCCTCACATTCCCTACATTCTCATTGGGACCCAGGTGTCTACAGACAGATTTTTAACAGTTTTTATGGTTCTGAACAGTTGGTGTGTTGTGTTGGAGAGGGTGGTAACGCCGGAGATGGCAGCTGTGGAAGCCCCGTTTATCTTCTGCCCTTATTTAACATTAAAGGGTAACTCTGCAAACACATGCCTTTGGTGCTTTAGTAACATGTTTCCTATGCCTTAGATTGACCTACGAGATGATCCTAAGACACTTTCGCGTCTGCTCCATATGAAAGAGAGACCTTTGACGTATGAACAGGGCCTCAAGCTGGCAAGAGAGGTAAGCTGGAAGGAAGTGACCTTTGCCCTTCCTGCCCAACTTCCTGTTGTCTGTCAGCATTTCCTGTTCACCCTGTTGGCTCCTTCCCCGTTGACCCCTATTTCTCTGTGTGCAGATCGGAGCCCAGTGCTACCTGGAGTGCTCGGCGCTGACCCAGAAGGGCCTGAAGACAGTGTTCGATGAGGCTATCCTGACCATATTCAGCCCCAAGAAGCAGAAGAAGGGCTGCTTGAGCTGCTGTACTGTTTCATAAGGACCCGATCCTGATGGGCAGCCGGTTCCGTGCCTGTTTCGGGGCGCTGGGTCCACACCTCTGGGACTGTCCCTTAATTCCACCCTAGGGTACATGCACACTAAAATACACTGTCTCACACACCGTCCCAGACACTCCCACGCACAGAAAGACAGACAGACATGCTGACAGCGCCACACTGACTGCACAGTAAAAGACACAATAAGTCGCACATGGACACACACAGGAAAACACACCGTTACTCAGACAAAAGTGAACATTGAGCCGCAGGCTCACTCCGCTACACATATCAAAACTACCCAAAAACTTCACAAACATACTGACGTTCACCAGCAGACATACAGGCAGACAGAAACACTGACCTACAAACACCCTCCCCCTTGTTCCCAGCCCAAGAAAAGTGAAACAGAGAGTGCCTCATTCAGGACTGTCTGAACGGACCCTCTCCCTCCCCCACGCCAAAGACAGTGAGCCAAAGACTCCAGGGAAACTATGTGGCCTTGTTTCTGCCGCAGCATAATCTCTGTTTTCGTGCGGCTGTGAGGCCTCCGTCCAAACATGACTCTCTCCCTCAATCACTGGTCAATGACCTCATGACCTCACACCATAAAGAGTTTCACGAAAATGATAGTCATTAAGCAGATAGGTTTTAATTTTCATTCTCTCATATGAGTAAATTATCCTTAGGGGGATTCCTGTTTTGGATGAATACTAAGCTCTGTAGTCCTTTGGCCTCAGCTTAGTTATTTGAATCCAAATACAGGAACTCCAGTCAGTCACTCTTCATAGGACCTGGGAAACAGGCCCCCAGTCACTACCTCAGAGCCAGAGCTGAGATCCAGTTGATCACTACAGTCCATGGAACAGTCAGAGAGCGACCAGAGTTACTGTGGACATGTCAGTTAAGCACTGGGAGGAGTACCAGAAGACCGCAGAATGAGTCCCGGCAGACCGCAGAATGAGTCCCAGAAGACCGCAGAATGAGTCCCAGCAGACCGCAGAATGAGTCCTGGCAGACCTCAGAATGAGTCCCGGCAGACTGCAGAATGACTCCCAGCAGACCACAGAATGAATCCCGGCAGACTGCTGAATGAGTCCCAGCACACCGCAGAATGAATCCCAGCAGACCGCAAAATGAGTCCCAGCAGACCGCAAAATGAGTCCCAGCAGACCACAGAATGAGTCCCGGCAGACTGCAGAATGTCACATTTTCAGTTTTGCCAGTGATGTAGTGCAAATATCTGCCACAGTGCTAGAATGTGTGATTTGTTTTTGATGTTCTTTTTATGTTTTGAACACTTTTGAAATTTCACTAAATCCCACATCCAGAGTGCTGGCAAATGATTACAGGGAAAAAGAAGTTGCCCCATGAAGTGGACCTGCTCCATTGGTCAATTTTTTGTGCTCAAGGGGGCAAGACATTCATTATTAAAGAGGAAGACCACATCTGACAGGGACGGCTGATTCAGCCTGGTCTTTGATGTCACCAAACACACAGGAACATGTGGGTTAGAGGCGACCTACTGAGGTCTTGTCTGACAGCTCAAACTGGCAGTGTACTCTGTGTCCACAAAGATAGATCATGTCATACAAAAAAGCTCCTTGAGTGGGTGCTGAAGTTAAACCCTTCAGAACTCTCTGTGGAGACTTCAGTAGACAGACCAGTTTCTCTGTGTTAAGTGCTTTTACATTTATTCCACTAATTCATTCCTTTTTTTCGTGTGACCTACACACCCTTTCAGGCCAAAGTACTGAAGAAACACATAACACTGGACTATATGCTGCAGTTCATCTAAGTTCTTTTTTATTCAGCTGCTTAGGAAACAGGAATATTTCAAGTGACTTAAATGCAGTTGGTTGTGATCTGTTGTGACTGGAGCACTAAGTACCTCATTCAAAGGCCCGGCAGCCATTCCTTCTTGGAATGGGAGACGTCAGCCCTCGGGTCAACAGCTCACACAGCTGCGCTTAACACTTCAGACTCGATTCCTCCCAGTCCTGCTCACTCGTGAGCCGCAGCTTCGCTTCCCAGGGGCGGGACGGAAACTCAGGGCTGCCTTCAGTCAGAGCTTCCTGCCTGACACACCGGGGACTCATCACTGGAATTAGCCTGGGAGGCTAAATGCTAACTGTTTGGCTCTTTCTGCACCTCTGCAGTGATGTCACGTCCTATAAGCACAGGAATGAGCCCGGGACTCTAAACCCGAACCTGCACCCCTGTCCTCCCCTCTTCTGGGACCTTAAGGACCTCCCATGGCAAGACTGAAGAGTTCATGTGCATGAAATGCTGCAAAGAGTCATGGACCTACTGAAGAGTGCCTTAATTAGCCAGGAGGAATGAGTGCCGTTCATCCTAATGCCAAGTGCCGGCCCGGCGTAGGGGTGCAGAGCACACAGCAATGTCACTTAGTCCTGGTGTCCATCAGTGCCATCACTAACCAGACAGCCTTTGTTTTCATACAGGCTTGTGCCACCATGCTAGTTTCTGCAGTTGTCAGACAATTATATTATTATTAACTTAATGGTATTTCTTAATGAGGTTCATTTAAATAATGTGAACATTGTATTATAATGAAAGTGAAAATGTTAATGATTGTTATCTTCTGAAAGGTTCGGCGCTCTGGGATCAGTCGCAGAGGTTTGTTTTACATGCATAGTCCTGCCACCTGAATTCTTTGATGCTGATGGACTGTTCTTCAGAGTTTTGTGTCAATCATGCTTTGAATGAGATATTCAACACAAAAATAGTCAAGATTGTGTGGCATGTATTTTTTTGTGGGTACAGCAACACCAGCTTGGGCAGACGGTTTGCTGGTGACCCCTGAAAAGAGCTCCTCTTTTTTCTGTGTGACACTTTGGTCACCTCCTTTCACCTCCTTCGTGTGCTCCATTGGGGTGCGCCATTGCTACTACAGTACAGACAGGCCACCTTGGTCTATGTCCTGCAGGCTCTGATGAGTCAGGTATCCTGCCCCAAGGTCCTTCAGCCCCCCAGAGCTCACAGGAACGTTCCCGCCCTCTGAGCTTCACTCCAGCTCTGAGCGGCTCTCTTTCTCTTATCTGTCTTCTTGTTTGCGTTGATTCCTGTGCTTTCATTTGTCTGTATGCAGTATGTTGGCCATGAAAGGAATTCTGCTTTGCCTACAGGATGTAAAGGCTGGATGAACAGTTTTAAAGTGAACTCAAGAGCAGCCTGTGTGCGGCAGCCTCATGTGCTGAGCTTCCAGGAAGAGAGAAGCATGTCCCTCCTGAGAGCAGCTTAGCTGCTTACGTGCCTCATCTGGACGAGACGCTTCTTCCTCTGTGTGTCCTCTGCACTTATAGGCCTGGCCTGAGTTTTCTATGCTAATGCACAATACTTTATTCTTCCAGATTCAGCCCTGCTGTCAAGCCCAATTCGACTCGAATGTAACAAGTGTGATCTGGGTTTGTTTAATATGCCGATGCAATTCCTTCCCCTGTGTACGCTGTACATTTGGTGCACTGATGATTTGAGACGAATTCACAGCCTGGAGTGCCCTGTTGCATAAATAGATAAGAGCAATTAAACATTTAATGTTTTGTTGGTGCCCGTTGCTCTTTGTTTTCACACATGTGAGATACTCAATCTCCATACCTTTGTGGCTGTAAGAGTTTAATGATGCTGGAAGAAAAATCCTGGTCTTTCTTTGAACTGGGAGGGTGGTTGTGGAGATAACCTGTCTGCTGACTGGGAGGGGGGTGGAGGTCAGTACAGAGGGGTTTGGCTGCAGGGTAGGTCAAGAAGAGGCTTTTTTGGGAATTAATCGTGTGTGGGGAGGGGCTGCCTTGATGACATCATGCAGTAAGACTCGCTTTTCACACAAAGTACCAGGATTTAGTTTTAGGAGGCACTGATACTACTTGCCAGTACATTGTCTAAATGCATAGAAACAAGATTCGGGATACAGCTCATGTAGTATTTTAAGAACCTTGATTAGGTAACTGGAAGACGACTACCTGACTGTACTTCTGTAAAAGTAACCTGTCAGTAATATCTAGAAACATAAGTGTAGTTTGCTCTTTTCCTTTAATATCTCTTCTGCGCTTTGACTGATTCGGCTCTGGGCAGCTTTCTAAGGCTCACAACACACCTGTGATCAGAAGGTTGCTGGTCCTTTAAACCCCAGTTGCTCTGGGTATTGTCTCACCCAGCTTTCTCTGAAAAAGAACACGACTTTGGATACAAATGTCTGCCAAATAGGTTAAAATGCCCACAAGGTCTATAGATGCGTTTCCAGTTTTTCTGCTCAGTCACAAACATCATGAAAAACACAACAGCATTGCTGTATCAGTGACTTGCGTAGTAGTAGTACATCTGCTGTGAGAAAGTATCTGTGAGTGACACGGCTGCAGTGTGGAGCCTATGTGCGAGAGCAGCCATACTTCTATGTGTTTGTGAGTAGCACTGCTGCAGTGAGAACATGATTTTACCGCAGCGACTCTCTCCCATAACTCCTGGTCCCTAGGGTGTAAGTTTTGCTGAGTTTTTGCTCTGTTCAGCTAAAACTCTCTGTACCTCCTCAGAACCTTGTCTCCACCTCCATACATCTCCAGTACTGCAGCCTGTACTGTATCTGTTTAACGCTTCACAGAGACTAACGTTTCTGTTTAAGCGCTTCACTGTGCTCGAGCCCGCGCGCTGATTCAGGTTCCGCTTTCACTGAGGATTGCGGGCCAGTACATTTGGAGTTAGACACTGTCCGGAGTAGCTCAGGAGCTCAGTACCTCAGGATCTATCACAGTTCAGGATTTGCAAAGCATGGCAGTCTAAAAACATTTAAATTAGACTGAGCAATAAAAATATTATTTATAGCACCTGTTTAGCGCCGGAACTGAAAAGATCAATTGCGAGACACCAAACTAGTTCCACAGTGCAACAGCGACCTCTCGTGTCAAGATGGAGGTCTGCATGTACAGATGTAGGAGTTTTAAAAAATGTGCGTTATTGAAAGTAAGTAGTACAAACAAGAGCGTGACAAGCGATACTTAGACGTAATCAATCAATGGTAGAGCTTTTCTATTACATAATACTAATAAAGGTACAATATGCAATTACAATCACAAATGACCAAGAGTAAAGCTTACCTTTGTTGTGCCTAAAATGGCAGATATGTAAAGATTTCATTTGTTTTGATTCAGTGAGCCTAAGAATCTAAATGAGTTTTCATGATTCAAAATTAAGTACATTCTTAAGTTTCTCTGTGGATCAGGAGTTCATTCCATAAATGATGTAGGACAAAAATATGGGGCTGGGTCACGTTTCCAGAAAGGGTCTTACGACTGGTGGCTTCACGGGTCAGGCAGACTTTAATGGTGCTTTTGCGAACAAACCCTCGGCAAAGTGGTCACAACGACTGGCGTGACAGGGCACGGGTCCGAAAAGACGTACGAGACGGTGATGCAGGGGAAATGTACGAGACGGCGATGCAGGGGAAATGTACGAGACAGTGATGCAGGGGAAATGTGCGTGTAAATTCCCAAAAAGCAACATAAGCTCATAAAGGAATGTAAAGCATAAACAGCAGTGGAAGCCCAGAGCTGTTTATGCACAGTGCCACACTAAATAGCTATCCTAACATTTAAGCAGCCAGAACAATCTAGAAACAGGCGGTTGGGGGGCTGGGGGGTGTTACTATGGGTAACACTGTTCTGTGTTTATGGTGCAGCACCACTGAGAGGGGAGCTGGCTGCCCGCAGCTCTGCTTGTAGGGTCACATGTGACCCTGAATCATGCCAATGGAGGAGGGACCGAGTAACGGGATGATTACCCCAAAATCAAAGGCAACTGCGTCATGCGCAACAATAGACAAAGGCCTGATATGTGAGTGTTTGTTTATGTAAAGCATGTGGAGAGCAAGCATGTGACCACTGCTTAAAGGTGCAAGGCGTTGTTCTTAAGGGGGGGGGGACTTACTGACCCAAGAGCGCAAGCCCTGAGGTGCACAGTCCCTTTTCAGGGGAAGCTTCGCTCATGCATACTGTCCCAGCCTCAGTGAAGGCGGCTTTGCCAGATCCCTTCAAACGGGTGACAAGTTCACTATTGAGAGAGAAACCTATTTTTGCTCGGAGTGATAATTATTTTTGCATGAGTAATTTTATTTGAGTGTTCAAGTGCTCCGGTTGTCAAAAAAATATGCACACACCAAAGCCCAGGGGCCTGAACACACTGCTTAAGTAATAACTAAAGTGAATTCACTGGGACAAGCTAATCCTGCTTCCTGAGATAAGCTCTGTTGCACTACCTGAATAAGCAGATACAGAAAATAGGTGGTCAGATTAGATAAACAGACCTGAGCAGTGGCAAATAAACAACACAACTTACAACCCTTCAGAAATGGGTATTTTATAGGTATGCTTACATAGCACCGTGTCGGACAACGTAATTAAGCACAGTATCCGAACCTCTAGACCCTGTCTGCATATATTCAGCTGATTAGCTTTGTGGAGGAGATTTTTTCTCCAATAACTAGCAGGTGTACCAACTAAACTGGCCATTCAGTGCATGTACACATTGTCTGCAGTGGGTGTCGGAAAACATCCGTGTGGTTTTTATCTACACCAGTTTCTTAAAAATGAGGCAAGTGTTGTTCAAAGTGTTGAATTAACTTTTATTTTTCTTTATTTTAGAAACGACTAAATTGTTAGTTAAATTCTTCTGAAATATACCGAGTTCATCTGAAACATAATACCGAGTCCACTCAAAAATGCCCCGTTATTCCCAGTAATGGGACCCACTGCCTTAGAAGCGACATCGTTTCATAAGGATTTACGCGCTATTACTGACGGCTCTTTAACATAATACTTGCGTGATACGTGTTATGGCAATTTCACGCTTTGGTGAGGTAAAATTGACGGTTAAAATGTTGCAATTGTTTCGGTATTGCAACAGCTTATGTAGCGCTTGTTAACAATGCATATGAATAAATATCACGTGCAGTCCGTAATGTAGCGCCTCTGGGTGTGTAATGTGCATTAGATTACTCATTGGAGCAGCGCCGATTTCACTGCATATTGTGTGTTAGAAAATATGTTTTCATTAAAGTCACACTCGCCCTAAACCCGAGTCAGTGTCGGTCTGCACTCCCTGTTCTGTCGCTGTTTCTTTGCCCGAAGGCGTAGATGCGCCACCCCGGCCGGTGGGTGGAGATTACCGTGTAACTAAACGGAGCTCACCGACACCGCTCCCTCACATTCGTGTTTATTATCGTTCGCAAATCTTCGCACAAGAAGTAGCAGGCAAAGCGAAGCACGGATCTGTGTTTTCTGTAAGTACACAGTGCGCGTAACAAATCTGACTCCGACTCAGTCGTACTTTCGAAACTTTAGTTATCTCGGAGCTTCATCACACATGCATAATTTAAAATGAAAGAACAATGAATTGAAATATGCAGCTATTTTGCTTGAGAACAAACCTAATTTGTTCCCATGTTTAACGTAATACTTTATTTTCAAATGGCAAATCAAAGCTTGAGTGAAATATAATTTCAAACTTGGTTTCGTTTAACAAACATAAATGATAAAAGTGGTTGTATCTTTATAAAATGTTTCGTAACTAAAGTAGACGGTCAATGTCATGCACCTTCTCAGTTTGCCGGGCGCTTCGCTCCCTAGACTGTAACACGTGGGTAGCTGCACTCTGACAGAGCGATTGATGGTGCTTCATTGGATAAACCTATAATCATGGTGTTCGACATTGCAGCACTCGAAAATACTGCACAAATTGATTGATGTGTAGATTTAAGGTAGTAAAATGAAGCTCTGGTCATTATGGGCGCGGTGAACGTACGCGGGAATATTCCCATAGTAGGTGCAGGAGTTAATGTTCAGGATACCTGTTAACAGTCAAGCGTCTTTGGCTGCGCAGGCGCAGAAGGTCAGGCTGACAGGTGTGTGTGTCTGTTTGTGTGCACGGTGAGTAATGAAATTCCGGGCTTGGATTGTTCCACTGTGAACCTGAAAGTGGTGCCAGGGGAGGGGGCAGGGAGAAGGACACCAAATATCCGTGCTGCCCATTGCACCAAATTGTTTTTATGTTTTATATAGTAAGAATTATGTCAGTTATTCAGTTTGTATTAATATTAAATGGACAAATGTAAATTAATTGGACATTAAAATGTAAAGTGTGGATAAGCTTGGGCCTTTTCAAGTAAAGCCGTGGTTTCCTGAGTGCATTTTCAGGTGATTGAGGATTCAGGTTTCTGTCACAAAAGCCTGAGACAAAGGCTGGACTCTTGTAGCATCATGTAATAGCTGAGATTAATTCCTCAGCTTTTTGAGAGTCTGTGTTTCTTCATGCCCAGGCTAATTACACAGATAAGTTACTCTTGGCCCGAGTATCTGCCCAGAATCAATAACAAGTTTATTCAGTGGTTTTCTCCTGCTCACGGGCCCCCCCCCAGTGTGTGCGAGAGCAGGCCTGGAGCTCTGCGTCATGCCGATGGGGACCCCCCCCCCTCAGTGCGTGCGAGAGCAGGTTGCATTGCTGCAGGTCACCCCGCCCACCGAAAGCTCCTGGGCTGTGATTGGCAGCTGCTGAATCT